TGGCAGACGAGATGACGTGAGGTGTGAATCCTGGGCCTATCATTTCGACATTGTACGTCAGACTGAGTACTGACTGATGTACATCCTTTAATTTCAAAAGAATATGTGATAATGTTGTGGCTGGTCAGAGTATCATGCTATAAAAGTGGCGATTTCTCTGGGGAAAGACACTCACTTTTAGTTTTCCGACAAGCTATTAGTACTTATTTTGTCGCTCGCTAGCCATGTCTCGAATCGATTCATTTTTTACTAAGGCAACTGCCGAGGTCCCAGCTGTACTTGCTTCTATGTACCGGACAACACCACCCGCCCCGCCCCGCCCTGCCCCGCCACCACATCCTCCAAAAAGAGATACCGTAACAAAATATCAGTGTGTCGTCTCGTATTATGTTTTTCAGTGTTATTTATTGTAGTTTATTTAAAATATATTATTGTATTAAATTGTATGTATTAAATTGTGTATGTATAGTTTAATTGTAGATAATTTCAAAAAAATAGTACAGCAATTAGCAATAAAGCATAATTCTATTCTACTCTATTCCAGTGAGTTTTTCACGTTACCATGTTTGTTTACATTTACGGGATCGTGACATAAAACTGTCGTCTCCATGGCAACAAAACAGCAGGTGGCCTGGTTGCGCCAGATTTCTTGAACGCGCTTGTAGTTTGTTTTAAAATTGGGTCAAGTCTCAGACTAGTACTACACCTTTACTCTAATCTCGGGAAAACTATATATTTATTCAGTTACCGGTGATACACACTTCGAACCCAGTTTTAAAACGTTGAAAATTTATTCAAACAAATCGACCACTTCGGAAACATATTTTCTATATTTATTCAGTCAATTGGCCCACCCCCAAAAATATTTATTTTTACATGGCCGAATTGATTGAGTTTTTACGGTAGTGAGCAACTTCAGTTTTTGTCCAATCGTGGCTTTATGGTGCTGTTACATGGATACATGCACAGTTTAGATCATGTCATTATCATTTTGAATGTGACGGTAAAGTGCTGATTTTCAAAATGAAATGTGTTCATTAGAATATACGATTATTTTGAAGTGTTTTAGTATTTCATGAATTACATACTATACAAGTGTACAAGTAGATAACAAGAAATGAAGAATAGTAATTGAATACGTACACAAAGTTTGCAAATTATAAAATCGAACAACCTATGAAATAGTGAATCTTGCACAACACGCCATCTGTCAAAGCGAACAATAAAGTGTTTTGCAAAGTTGCAAGCCATCCTTCTAAATAGTTCTAAGAATCGATGTAATTATCAAACAAGGTTTGTTCCCTACTCATTGTGTGCTGCTGACTTGATGAGTCATCTCGGATGCAACTGGGGGAACCTTGGATATAGTCCAATGCTTGCTTGATTTGACTGGTTGATGCTGGGGTAGAATGCTGTTGTTTTTGTGATTACAATGTGATGTCAGTAACAGTATTTTTGTAAAAAGCAAAGAATATTTGCATATTATGTTTGTGAGTTGATGCAAGCTGTACATATGTTTTTCTAAAATTTAATTTCATTCAGAATTAATGGCTTTTGAATAAACTAA